TAGCATAATTTATCTCTTCACCACTTTGTTTGCCATACCGAAATAACCATAAATAAATATTATGACATATATTATTATAGCACCAGCTATTGAAAAACTTTATGGTATTTGTAGAGTTTTGAGTAAGATACCACTGAAAGCATGCCCGACTGGAGTACGAGCAAGTACGAGCAGTGAAGCAAAGATTTACAAGACGAAATGGCCTAGATTTTTCTCCTTTGATATTACTGATGAAAGTAAAAAACCCTAAGTATCATAACATCAAAGAAATACGTGCTTAGTAAATTATTAACAGCACTGCAAACAGAAGGAAAACTTGAAACAAACCCTATACCAGCAGTGGGCTATAGGCTGTTGATGATGATACAATTCCCCGATAGTTGGAAGTAATTTTTTTTCTGTTTCCGATTCAGTCGCTCCAGGCTATGCAGATTATTATTATTATTATGATTATTATTTTAGTGGTTTGTGTAACGGACTGCTATTCCAGAGGTCGCGGGTTCGATTCCCACGAACATTTAATGTTTGATTTGGTCTGGGTGTTTCTATGTATAATATGTATGTATTTACAAAAAAAAAAAGTATATTATGTATTTATATCAGTTGTCTAGTACCCATAGTACAAGCTCTGCTTAGTTTGGGACTAGATGGCGTTGTGTGTATGTTGTAGATTATTATTATTATTATTCTCTTTATTTACTTTATATACATATTATTTACATTTTTAAACATACACTTTATAAAAAAATATAACAAAATCCATTTAAAAATATAAAAAAATAGTAGACCACCGACATCGGGTACAGGGACTAACACACCGGTGGCTAGGACTCCAAAGATAGGAACCTCCTCACTATACGAGCCGTGTCAAGGAGGACTGCCTTCTGCATCAGACCCTTGATCCAGCCGTCCAACGTGAGCCTCTTGAGGTGTTGGTCGAGGCTCTTGGCTATCAATCCGTGAGCAGATACGACTATCGGAACAATGATCACTGAATCAACATTCCACATATCGACAATCTCGTGAGATAAATCCAAATATTTAATTTGTTTTTCTTTTTCAACTTTCACGAGATTCTCGTCATGAGGAACGGCGATATCAACAATCATTGCGCGGCGCTCTAATCGATCTATCAGCACAATATCAGGCTTATTGGCAACAATAGTCCTGTCTGTGATAATAGATCGATCCCAATACAACGTGGCCCGACCATTCTCGAGAACTGGGTCGGGCACATACCTATAGTATGGCACCTCCAGATTCACAAGATGGTATTTAAGGGCAAGCTGTTGGTGTACGATCCTGGCTACTTGGTTGTGCCTGTGCAAATATTCTCCGTTAGCAAGACGAGAACAACCAGAAATAACATGCCTGATTGATTCGCCAGGACGGTGGCATGCCCGACAGATGTCAACCGTACCATCTTTCAGGATATATTTCCGATAGTTATTCGTCATGATAACTTCGTCCATAATCGCACAAACAAAACCTTCAGTTTCTCCGAAGAGGTCACCATACCGTAGACAAGTCGTAGATGCTTTTAAATCTATATCGGACCCGTTTAGGGCCCGATAAAACCGACCATGGAGCTCTTTGCCCTTCCATACTTCCCTGCGATCATTAACACTAAGTACTACAGGTCTGCGCCAATTCTCTTTAGCCAGAGCGAGCGGGGTGAAGCCGGTATCCACTGCAACTACATTGCGTTGCACTCCCACGTCGGTATGTAGAAAATATTCTCTGAGATTGCATATCTCGCGATTATGTAGGGTCTTGATATTTAATAGTCCACGACCCCCAAGCTTATTATTATTATTCTTGTTAAAATGATACTTTTCCATGATTCTATATTTGCAAATAATATTTTGCATTTCAGCTTAAAACATTAAAGATTTACATGCCTTTCTATCAAAGTATTGTAAAGCGCCTAATTTAAATTTATTTTCACATGACACTTGCAAATAAATAATTCGTGATATTACCAAACCAGCAAATATAGAGTCTACTGTAATGTACAATATTTGATTTAAATGACCCATTAAGATTGAATTGAATGATTAACCATTAAGTTTTTCGTCTGCTCTTTATGGTATATGAACGAGTAGACGGGTCAACTGATGGATCCATATATGGTACTATATATACCATAGACTATATATTTTGATCCACAAATTTTCTTTTTAATTTCTGGGGTAACTTAGGTTTTTCATCTATTAGTTCCACTTGAATCGTGTGTTTTTTGAGAAAGATCTTAATTAAATATCCGGAGTAGTAATAACTTTTTATTGTTTATATTCTAATCTTTTTAATCTTGTATAACATGTTACAAAAGTCGAGATCATCTCAGACAGAAGGAATAAAATTACACGATGAACATTTTTTCCATATTGTTTTTGTAGATGTACATATCATTGTATATTTATTTTATTAATACAGTTGTTTATAACCAATTTTGAGATTGGCAAGTTTAATCTGTTCTTATGACATAATGAAAAATTAGCACATTTGGCACTGATTATTTGTGCCTTTGCAAAACACCAGATTTCTTACACAAAATTAAACCTATTATCTAAGAACATAAACTAAATTGACAATAATCGTTATATACCTTATAAAAAGACACGAATATGTTTCACAATTTTGTAAAGGAAATGCAGTATACAGTGTACGAGATACTGTATACTGCTATATGTTACTTACTCGTTCTACCACGTTGTTGACCTATAGTCATATCCAAAGAACTGTTATAATACGTATCAGGGTTTTATTTTATTTCCTAAGAAATTACTTAGTTCTAAAAAGATCAATGCCCTAAATAGAATTACTAATACCAATGTTAATGTTCCATGTTAAACTCGAGAGGATGTTGAAATTGCTGTATAGACTTAAAAAAAATTATCACAAGTCTATTATAATAGTATTTAAAATTTTAACTGTTCATTTGTTGTATGAGCAGTGATTGACAAAATTAATTACATGATGATATTCACCGACTTCAAAAATAAAGAACACGTTGCAAATTTGAAGCTACCAACAGCAAATCGTTTATTCAGATAAACCTCGTAAGAATTAACACCACACCCCTAAGTAGATGCATTTTACGAGGACACCAGTTTAACTATTATACTTATCTTTACACTTACTGAAAAAATTAAGCAACCTGTAGCTAAATGCAACTAAATAATCAGAGTTTTACATATATTTTTTAAATTTAATTTAGGCATTACTTACAAGAATCCTTATAGTCTAAACCAATTGAAGTAGGATAATGTATACCACAGCAGTTTACACTAACTTACAACTATAAACACAATTGACAAAACATGGTCTGTGTGAACTCACTATTATTGATGTACCTTCTTAAATCTTGCATTTGTATTCAGAAATTAAAATAGCAAAAAGTTATCATTTAACGGACTTCTCGCTCCAAACATTCGCAAAAAATTTTTACGACAGTCTTTTTACAAATATAATCAATGTTGTTATATACATACATATAATCAATATTGTTATTTAAGCAATGCGTGTAAAAATTAGTATCGTCAAAATATGTGATTATAACGGCATGTCTTATTGTCTTTATGTTTGGGGTTTAATACTGAATTCGCTATAGAAATTAACTTGGTAATGATGGATGTTTTTTTCTTCGAAGCTTTTACGGACCTAAATATTTGATTCCTTAAACGAGAGGTCAATAACAAACAAAACAAGTAATGAATCTCTGAGTCTCTGTTTTCATGAAAAGCAAAAAGTGTTCGTACATTCATTAAGCTTAGATCTTCACATAGATATTAAATACCTTAACATGTTACATTACTTTTGTATTTTATATAACAGCAAAGTTATTAAGTAATTTGGGAAATCCGTACCTTCAATTTGTTTTTTGGTATAATATCTGACACGTGCTTCATTATTCTGTTACTAATTACTCATTTTATTAAATTAAAACTATTATTATTTAACTTTTTAACACATTTGCGAAATAGTTTTTAATAGTTTCATGTAATTGTTTTTATTAAACACAATTTTCCAGTCTTTTGCAGCTCAATTGTGCGTTCCTTTACGTAATTAACGTATTATTTATAACTTTCTGGTAGTATTGAAGTACTTACATTTAAGTATTTTTAATGAATAATTATGAAGTTATGTTCACACTGCAAGGCCATCTCCAGAAAGTGCTGTAGAGCTACATAAGTATTTCGTTATTGTCTTTTTTAATTAACTCTTGATCTTTTAAAGCAAAAAGATTTATTACAGTATATGCATTGCAGTCAAGTCTTATGATCAACAGCTTCAATAGCCAACTGCTGGACATAGGCTTCTCCTTAGAAAAGAAGTTTTGGCCTACTATACCATGGTGGATAGACAGGTTGGTATAGGATTTGTGACAAGCTTTCCTTCAAGTCAAGTCTCTTGAACCGGTTAAAATTAAGTTTAACTGAAAAAAAAACAGTGGTCAAGAATTTAATCGATGTTGTTGCTTAACGAATTATTCTGGCTGGTTAAAAGTTTTGACTGCAACGTATGTGGGAGTATATTAAGTAAATATTTCCTTTCTTAATGTAAAAATAACTAGGAACTAACCAGCTAGTGATTATTAAGTACATACCTTAGAATTGCCGGACGTTTCAATCGGGTTGCACTGGCCGTAATACATAATTATTGAAACGCTATAGTTTAAAAGTTTTATATATCTATATATATAGATCTAAATCTAAATATCTATATATATATAAAGATCTAATATAAAATCTAAATATATAATCTATTATTTTATATATCTCTAGATAAAGTTCAATATAGAACTTTTTCGATCGTGCTAATCATAACAATAAATTATGACCATTACAGCAACTATTATTACAACTCTTAATCCAAAAATAAATCTACTAAGCAAATAATTCATACAGACTTCAGTATTATTTATTATTGCAGTTAATGATAACTTATATTTATAATTTTAAACTTAATTAATTTTGTAAAATTTTCTGATGAGACATCTATTCCACAATGACTCTTTCATGATCCAGATCAATATTAAGAACTAAATGATCTTCTTTCTTCTTAATCTCTAGTTCTGTTCCCGTAAAGTTATCTTCTACACCAGACTTCTTGGACTCCCGACGAGCTTTTTTGTGTTGCATGTGAAACCATCTGTAAAATAAAGTAGTAATAAAGCAAGTCTGGTGGTGCAGTGGTAGCGTATGCGACTGCTGAGCTGAGGTTTCCGGTTCGATTCCCATGACGAATCAAATGTTTGTATGATCTGCAAATATTTGTTTCGGAGTTTGGGTGTTTTCTTTGTATAATATTAATGTATTTAAAATAACAAAACTATATAAGTATTCTATCAGTCAATCTAGATTTTATAGGACAAGCTCTGCTTAGTGTGAAACTAGATGGCGTTGTGTGTCTGATGTAGGAAAATTTCTATATTCTTCAAAATAATACTGGAAGGAAAAATAGAAGACAAGAGAAAACGAGCACGGCCTAGATCAAGATACATACAGCAAGTTAAGGAGAAAGTGGGAGTCGGGGCCTATCAAGAGGTCAAACAGGTCGCAGGTAATAGAGAAGAGTGGCGATTGCTTCACCGATAAGAGCTTGTCTCTTAAATTGGGAAAATTGATTGACTGCACAGATGGCGTAGTGGTTTAAGCGAGCTCCACGCCGCTTCCTACTAAGCTGAGTGTTGTGGGTCCGAGCCCCACATGGCACGACACTTTGTGACACGACACGTGTGATCTACATGTTGTTGTTCTGAGTCTTCTAAGTATGTTTGTAAAGTAATCCGCGACATAGAATGCGGGAGGTCTCTTTAAAAAAAGAAAAAAAAAAGAAAAAAAGTGCCATGCTTTGGCACAAATGAACTAGCTTGACCGGACTGAAACCATGGCCTTGGAAAACCGGGGTATGCAATTCTTTCGTTACTTTTCACCGAGTGAATGAGGTTACCCGAGCTCAACTGCCTCCCCCTGCCCCTAGTCCTCGGACGGAGGTGCTTTTAAGGGCTGCAAAGCACTTGTGACTCTGGTTATTTGCAGGTGTCTTCTGCTCATACATCATCATCATCTACGGCCTTTAACAGTCTAATGCTGGACATAGGCCTCTACTTAGAAAAGAGGTTTCGGCCTACCATGCTGGCCAGACGGGTTGGTAATAGGTTTGGTTCAAGTTTTCCTTCTCTCGGCAGTGCTGTTGTCCTGCGCAGTTTCCTCCATTAGTCGGCTCTTACGACACCCACTTGATGAAAAGGGGTGTTCACACTTTTTATTCTTAATCCGTCACCACACGGAATACTTAGGTCACTTGTGCTCATTAGCCCGACTATATCATAAAAAAAACACCGTATATAATATACTGTAATAATAATAAATATATATGTAAAATTAAAAAAGTAATAAACTTACACAAAGAATGCCAAAGGTGGAACCGTTAAAATAGTGCTGACATAGTACACAATACCGGGATCAATTACGATGGTATATCGGTATATCATTGAGTAAATTGGACCAAAGGTCATAGATGTTGCCACTTCGACCAGGTTGAAAAATGATGTCATTTTACCTGAAATAGCAAAGTATCATGTTATATTGCAGGTACCTTTAATTATTCAAACATAACATAACAATAAGTGTTATGGTTTAATCTCCCGATTAAAAATCGCAGAAAACATTTCTATTTGATTATCTGAGTCAATAAGACATGAAGACAATTTGCACATAGTTGCTGGACAGAGAAGACACATCTATTGTATGAAAGTATATTCTGTACAACGTCGTTCTTACAGATACGCGTATCAGAAAGATTAAAGAAATAACTATGTTCAAAAAGAAACTAAATGACTTGTTGAAAAATAAATTTTTAAACAGTTAAATGTTACATGCCAGGTCTTTACTCTATACCCCAGTCATGATGAGTTCAGTATTCTCTACTTTGACATTATTATTGCCTGTTTTAAATTTCTGCGACATTTCGATCTATATAGACATAACTAATTTTATTACTTAATGCATGTAACTATATTTTAATTATTATATCTATTGTTTTTGGGCGGGACATAGATGGGTTAAATAATAAAAATTATGACATCTGTATAAAGATGTCAGAATTTTTATTGATGATAATTTTTACTAACCTACGATGAACAGTAAAGATTAAATTATAAAAAACACGATTAGCCAAAGTCTTTGTCAAAATAAAGATACTAACAAACTTTTACAATACAACTAACTAGACCTAATACCGTAAGAGGAGTTTAATTAACTCGTTAATAAGTACTAGATATTATGGCATGGTCACAAGAGGGGTTAACGGTTCTTAATTTGTATCCAAGCAATTGCATTCGAATTAAAACTTTCAAAAACCCTCTAAATATGGTAACCAATTTATAAATTACATTTTTTTAGACAGAACAAAAGTATTTTATATGTGGCTTTTATTTTAAGACATTGAATATTAAGTTTTAAGGAGCACTAAGAGAATATGACTGCACGAAGGAAATGAATGAAACGACAACACTTTGTGTGATTCATAAATTATTGTTATGAGTCTGGGTATTCCTTGTGCCCGTGTTCGATGGATGTTTGTGAAATCCCCCGCGACACAGGATATATTTATTCCTAGTGCGGAAGTTGTCTTTTATAAAAGAGCAAAAGAACGAAAAAGAGAGATGAAGTCGTGGTACCTACTGTGTCGTTTATGTAAAGTTATTAAAAATAGTTACCCAGTTCGTCACTCGTACACAATTTGGATGATATAGAGCGGAGCGCTGTAAAAGAAGTTGCGTTGAACATCTCTATTGCCACCGCTGAAAAACACAGTCATTGTTAAGTAAGTACTAAATTTATATTCATATTACCTTCTTGTTTCTATTTTGTATTAGGAGTCGGTCCTTGTCATCTGAGGGACTAGTGTGAGTTTATTTCACATCTACTTGACTGTTTTATGACTTCGAACGATCGTTCGAACGAACGATTGTCGCGAACTTCGAACGCGCTAGCTGTCGAGAGCGTCTTGTATATGTATGCGTGTGATATAACCTCACACTAGACCCTTTCGTCATTTTTTTGAGTAGCCATTTATTTAGTGTGGTAACGTAATTTAGGGATGGTCTCTTATACTATAAATATTTTTTTTTATCGGTGCATTCGAAAGCCATCTAATTATCCATATTTATTGCACTGCATAAATTATCCATATCCTCTATCCAGATTAGGGTATCACAACCTGACGACTGCGTACATCTTTTTCCTTGTAAACTACTGACTTATGTCATTAAAATTAATTTTTGATGGTATTTATTATGATTCCATGGCTAGTATTCGAAAAAAATATGAGATTTCCTTAAACATCATGATTTTCAAAGGCCAATACAATACATTATTGATGTACCAGTTATGTTGAATAAAAACCTTTTTCGGTTAAAATACGTACCAATATACATATCTTTAGTGTTGCGCGCTATTCCAGTTGTAATGGATCCCATTATTTTGCTAACGTTGGATATAATACCCAGCATCGAATCGTCCCATTTTAGCCGATGACTAAATAAGGTGATTGAGATTAATGCTCCTGAAAATGTAGTTCAATAATTTAAGTTAAGCTTAAAATAATAATTGTAATAAACTGTATTTATCATTCTTTAACTTTCCACTCTTCACATCATCACATTAACAGCCTTTAATAGTCCACTGCTGGACATAGGCCTCTCCTTAGAAAGGAGGTTGTGGCTTACTATACCACACATACCACTCTTGTAGGTGGTATTTTTTCTTCAAACTAGAATTAGCTCTTAAATAAATAAATAAATTTTCATAAATGACGGAATCCTGAATTAACAATCGTAACAAAAATACAACCAAATTAAGAACGTCCGAATTTTGAAGTCGTTTAAATTAATAAAACTTCAAAAAGATTATGAACAAGTTTTAGTTGTGCAAGTTGCCTCACAATGTCTTCCTTTATAGCTAACTTATAATATTGCCCTAAACTTCGAACATGCTTGGATGCGTCGCGTCGCTGGGAATCAATACCCAGTGATGCAATTTAGACCAATCAGCTAGCTTGTTAGTTAAATATAAACATTTCTATTCTAATATTATAGTGTTGAGCTGATTGGGACTTGTCTTGGTGTATTGAAGATAGACATGTGATAAATCTCGATACAATACGATACTATAATTTTTTAAAATTTCAAAGACATTTGAATATTCTTGATTTCTGGCGAATATAGATTTAGTATAATTAAAACAGTATTAAAATTGTTTTTCGAAATCAGTAATTATGATGAAATATGAGTAAAAGACGTTGTTTTCCACGATTTAACACCGTTCGTGTCAGAACTCCTTTTATGAAAACCAGGTGTGATAGATGAGTAAGATGATCAATAAGTGACTATTAAAACAGTTTTTTTTTATAATTATAACAGGGACATTTTGTATTTGGTTGTTGGTGGTTATAGGGGGAATATTCTATTATATTCAATTCTATTTTTTTTTTTTTTAAATATAATTAGAACCGACCTAGAGTAGGATTAGATCATGCATTATAAACACACAAAAAATATTCAGTCCTCGTTCTTGAAATCGGTTAAAATATTATGTGTCTATAACTGTATGAAATATTATTTAAAATGATACAAACCTAGGGAGTGAATGCAGATATAAAAAGTGTTGTAGAAGCTGTACTTTAGAGCATCCCAATTGAAGCAGTAACGAGTAAACAAATATCGTACTGTGTTTTCTCCTGCAAATAAGATAATATGTTATATCAGCATGGTACAGACTGTGCCTAGTTTAAAATCAGACTGCCGTATGTGAAATGTATGAAATTATTATTATATCATACTTAAAGTTGTCATGACATCGATTTTAATTACACTGTAAATAATAAGCAAGTAATTTGTGTGATCGTAAGAGTACAAACATCTGACTGATACAGCCGCAACCCACACTACGACTACGGCTGAGATCTGTCTTGCTTGCAATGATATAGTTCGTCAAGGTCGTAGTGTAAATTTCCTTTGAAGAATGTGATAGTAGTGGAACTCATAAGGGTGTTTAGTACATTATAATTAGTACGACGTAGTAGTAGTAGTAAACAACGAGAGTTGCACTGTATCTCTGTATTTCTTTCTCAAAATTGTACTTTTACGTCCTCTTGGACAATATATTTTGGACATTAAGTAGGTGACCTAATTGATACAGTAGGTCTTAACAGTGCAAAAGGTATTAAAGGTGTAGAAAGTTTAACCAATTGTCTTAAAATTGGACATCAGAGAAGAAACAGACAAAGTTGTATTTAAGAGGCAACTTAAAAGGTTTTTTTTTCATTTATTATGAGAAGCTGTTGTTGTATGTAGCTATTATAGTTTTAAATTACTAAAATAAGACAAAATGTACGGAGACAGGCTCCTCCAGTCAAACCATCAACCCAGTTTTGAGGGACAAAAATATAATTATAAAATAAAGTTTTAGTTAAATAAACAATAATTAGTTAGTTTAGTTGAGGAGATCGGGCACAGTATCATGAGTAGCCGACTGTATTAAATATTTTAAACTCAAATGGGCAAGTTAAACAGCGTTAAGAGTGTGTAGGTATAGTGTGTAGGTATAGGTCTACGTACAAGTGAATGAAATTATAATATTGTAAGCAGCTATAGATCTGAAACTTCCTATCTGAGAATATATCGCAGTAATTTATCTTTAGCAAGGTATGGCACAAATAAATAATTCTATTGAACTTCGATGATAATTCGAATTTATGCTCAGGTTCTATACTTAAGTTGAATAAAATATAAGATAAGTAATATGTACGTACCGTGAGCCGGGCCATATATAAACACGACGCATGCCAATATCAATATGGACTTTGTCCTCCTTTTGTTGGGTCCATTTTTGAATGTCACCCGTACAGTGTCTTTCACGTGTTTTAGATCGAAAAAAGATTTTAGAAAACTCCGTACACTGGACGGTTCGTTCTGCAATTGTAAATCCTATTATAAAGAGCCGTTACTCTTGAATGATTTTTGGCAACTATCTTCCAATATAAAATAGGACCGTGTGTTGTTGTGTACACATATCCTTGTACTAAGCTCTTTTTGGGTACTGCTTACGTATGTCCCTTAGCAGATGAATAGAAAACAAGAAATTTATATGTCGGTATCAGATCTGTCATTTGAAGGACATTGAGTAAGGATATACGTCAAATGATGCATTCTACGAAATTAGTTGAACTAAAAACAACTAGTGTTGTATCACGGATATCTTGTAAGGTCGCTTATAGCATCATATACGTACAAAACATATCCGTACGTTACAAATAGGATTGTCATAATATAGCCTGAATATTACACGTGACGCCAACATATCGGATTTGAACTACTAGATCCTTAAATCGTTTTTCTTAGTGTCAGTGTCTTGGAGTCAGCTTTTGATGCAAGTCTTTGTATTTCTATGGCACAAAAGTGCTTTTCTAATAATTGAGAAGAAAAATTAACATCTTTGTTGCACATTTTATAAAACGATCTTATTGGCAAGAAAACTTCATGAAATACTTATGAAGTTATAATTTTTACTAATATAATAAATTTTAGAATTGTTTTCAATGCTTATTCAACACTTTTTTACTTTCTATTTTCTTAACAAGTTGTTTGAACATAATTTGGTATATGGTCTTAGAGTAATAATTTCATGTTTATCGTCTTTTACCGAGCACTGTTGTGAAGTAGAACAGTCACCGAATACAGTGTACACAGATGTATGACGTAGTCTTGATAATTTCTATTTTTGATACGAATGTTATAAACAATAAGAACTGTTTTTCTTAGTGAGAAGGCTGTATGGTCACATGAAAAGTGTGGTTTTAAAACAAGACATATAATATAAAAAATAAAAAAAGTATTTTTGTGTGTTCCATGTGATCACTAAAGTTAAACGGTTGTGACAGTTTCGACATTGTTTCTATAAAATAAAAACCGATACAGTCTTTACACATTAGGTTTGTGGGTTGTAGTTTAGCTTGTTTTGTTTGTCATAGCTTGCATTGGTGATCTTTATCAAATTCACTCATTCCATTCTAAACTAAATCCAAATCCAAAATAAACAAAATACTGCTTTAAAATCCTATTTGCAGCATTTTTATTCTAAAGGCTAGTACTAACTTTAACTTACCAGGTTCTGCTTTTCAGTCACAATTCTCTCAGGATCTTTAATACAAAGAAATCCGTACGTTATACTGAATAAATAAAGAAATGAACATAAAGAGAACACGCCATAATATCCTATTTTTTGTAATAGTACACCACTGAGAACGGATCCAATTGGCCCACCCGCTGTCAAACATAAATTAGCTACTCCAACTCTGTACGTCCTTGAGTCTTTACTAGAAACATCGCTGATGTATGCAAATGCACCCATGTAAGTTGTAATCCAACCTCCAGTTATAGCAGGAAAGAAAGCTTCAAAAAACATTGTCACTTCAACAGGCAACTCATAGAAGAAATAAGCGTTTAAGATATTACTTAAACACATTAGCAACTCCCCAATAAGTGGCAGCAGAATACAAATTTTTCTCTTTCCCGTTCTGTCACTCCACGCTCCTAAGAAAATAATCAGAACACTTGGGATGGCTGTGAGCAATACATTCTTCCAACTTTCCATTAGAGCTATAAGCCCCTGTATTGCCAATTCTTCTTTCATATACAAATTTCCTTTTCTGGCAATAAGAGCATCACAAATTTTGTCACCATACGCCATATTGACACGACAAGCTTTGTCCAAACTTAGATTTTGAGTCGCCAATTTTGCTAAAGTTGAAGGCACGACGTAACAAGCCAGAACCGGTTCAACAGTTATATTTTCTTTAATACTCGCTAACTTCTCTTTAAAGGTTTTCTTTTTAATAGTTTTGTCTTTTTTCAAAGGTTTTTCTTCTGGAGTACCCATCTTCTTGGCTGTTGCAAATGCTAATAAAGTTAATGTTTATTACAAAGTTTTCTGGGACACCTTTAAGCCTATCAAATATTAGTTTTCAGTGATAGGATATCTATTATTAAGTACCATATCAGTTATTAAAGAAACAACGGTAAACAGTAGTATTTGTTTATTTATTGATTGCATAATGTACATGCATACATCATCACTTTGAAAGTGAACCCTCTACTTTACAGAACAAGATTTAAATAAAACAAAATTAGAAACAAAATGAAGATTTTAATGCCGTTCTTAATCAACTTGTGGAGTTTTAAAAATGATGTTGTGTATAAAGTACCTTATACGCAAACGGCTAACTCCTAACAGTGCGTTGTTATTTATTTTCAAGATCTGAATATTGAAATAGAAATAAAAACGTAAGTAAAAAATCTACAGGAGGTTTCTGCAATAGGTCTAATGGTATAATTATAGCTGACTTCTTCTATCTATAAAATTCGTGTCTGTCTAATATCTATTTTGGTATACAAAAATCAAAATAATAGCCAAAAAAAATTACACCTTTTGAGCAACTTTGAAACCATGTGGAGAATAATCTTCCAACCCTAATTACTAATTTTACTCTTATCTAGAATAATTTAAATTTATGTCTCTCGTAGTAAGTAACAAGAACAAGTAACATAAACTTTCGAAGGGCCTTATAGTTCCTTAAATCCTTCGAGGCCTTGTCTTAAAATCCGTTCTAAGCTCACATGCCCGACCAATAAACTAACACAATGCCAAATTACAGAGACTCCTAACTTAAAAACAACTATTACTTTAAAAAAACCGTCCACTTCTTTAAGCCAACCCTCTAACTAGTTTTATTTTTATGGTCATTAGCAGGACTCGTCTGTCTTACCTCTAAAAATATTACCTCCCTGATAAAATCATCACGTAAGTAACATGTTTCAGAACATAACATACACGAAGAACTCTCATATATACTTGGGTCTTACAAATTATGTACCATATACCCCAAACCCGGCCACGACGACTGCTAGTCATAACCTTATCTACTTAGTCTATCTTATCACCAAATTTCATCTTCACAAGTATTTCATTTTCTTGACATGCAAAGATGAAGTTTGGTGATCTTATCACCAAACAGCTTTCAGCTTTTCAGATTTCGTGATTAGACAGTAGACGAATAAGTGAATTTCCTTTTATATATAGGTATATACTACGACAAATATACATATTTGGTTTCCTCTGAACCCTACATATTATTTACACTAGAGCAAAGTGACTAAATGACTAATCTATGAACTAATTAAAACCTAAAGTAAAGAAAGAAAAGAAAGTACACATCAACATCACATCAACAGCCTTTAATAGGCCACTGCTGGACATAAGCCTCTCCTTAGAAAGGAGGTTTTAACCTACTATACCACGCTGGCCAGATGGCTTGGTATAGGGTTTGTGTCAAGTTTTCCTACTTTTTGCACTGCTGGTGTCCTGTATTGTTTTGCGCCCTTAGTCGGCTCTTACGACAGCCACGGGATGAATTGGGGTAGTGACATTCCGTATTCCTAATCCGTCACTACACAACACTATAAAGAAAATACGTATGTTGAAAATTAAAACTAATTCGCTGTTCGCGCATAAAATGCTATACTGCTTAATTCGTAGGATAGATGATATTTCTCTGTCCGATTAAAATAATTTCTAAACACATGAAAAACTTAGTATGAGATAAACAGACATGAACAGACAGTTATCATGATTTGAAAGCTGAACTATATTTTCAACTAATTACGTGATGCAATAACAATTAACAGCTTTTAGTAAGCCACTGCTGGACATAGGCCTCCTGCTGGAAAATAGTTTTTGGCCTATCATACCACGCAGGTGCTCAAAGTTTTCTTTCGCTTGCGGTGCTGCAGCAATTGCTAAGATGTAATTAAAAATTAAACAGAATAGTCTAGATTTCTTCAACATTCAATTAATCTAGAATAAAAATAGACCACGCGTTCTGGATAGTGGCTATCTTAATTTGCGATTTTACAAAGCCAGATGGGGGTTCCCATTAAACACTTGCTATTTTTATGTGTGTGATTTAAATATGTGTTGAAATACAGTGGCTTGGATCTGCAGCTCTTGTGTCAATGTACTTTTATTCAACGGGTAGCAACACATTTCTGTAATTCATATATTTTTAGGTTCTTCAGTTTTATTTTTGTCGTTTATGAAATACATTTCTGTCATGTAATTTATAGAATAAAAAATTTACATGTATGTTATTTATCATCATCAACAACCCATAATAGTCCACTGTTGTACAAAAGCCTCTCCTTAGAAAAGAGGTTTTGGCTAACTATATCACGCTGGCCAGATGGTTTAGTATAGGATTTGTATCAAGTGTTCCTTCTTTTTGCGGTGCTGTTATCCTTTGTTCGGCTTAATCGGCTTTTACGACACCCACGGGATGAATAGAGGTGGTACATGGTACACTTCGTATTCTCAATCCGTCACCACAACGGACGTTATTCATGTTTAGTAAAGTTATACCATTTTAATTATGTGCATATTTCTACTAATATGAAATACTAGGGGTAGGTACCTATCTCTACCAGCTCCTACTAGTACTGCATTATGTGGCGACTTTTTGGACTTCATTATTATTCAGTTGAACAGCTGTTTTTTTTTGTAAACTTTGTTACTTTTTACTTAAAATACTATTCTAGGTTTTACGTTGGGTCGTATAATTGAATCACAGTATCAAGATTTCTGAGAAAAAATACTTAGAAATCCCCGTCGGCAACATTCCGTACAGTATTGTTACGTTCCGTGAGGTATTTTTTAATCTTGAATTAAGCTACTTAAATATTTACCTGTTTATAATGTTTGTTATTTAAAAAATATTTATAATCTCGCTTTATGAAAAGATAACGGGAAATTTACTAAAAAAAATCAAGGAGCAGAAGAAAACGAAAACTAAGGATTCTACAACATTTCTAGTTTTACTTTTACGATAAATCATAAATTTATTACTAACAATACACAAGTTCCATCGAAAGTTTACGTTGACAAAAACGGAAGAAAATTGTTGCAAGGATTTAACTGTTATTACTATTTTTATAAACAGAGAGTTTTATTCAGAAGGGTTTTAAGATTTCTTATTCGATTAACGCACGTTAGAAACAGCCAAGACCTTGATAGTATAGCCTAGCTTGCTATAGAACTTTCATTGGTAAAGGAGAGGTTTTCAATTTTTGTTTTATATTAGTGTAAGTTTGTGTAAGTAATTCATGGTCATGGTACGTGGTTAAAAAATGTTGTGTGCCTCCGTCGCGGCGTCATTGTTTTCTAAAACTAATTTACTGCCGACATATTTCTTTGCTTACAATGAAGAATTGTTGGCCAGTATTTCGCACCAACATTTTGGGATTAAATTTAGGTGTCGGCTGGTTTTCAATCCTCAGATAAACAGTTAGATAGCATTTATTCCAGTTAGCGTAATTATAGGTTTTTCAATGGTCAGATAGCTATTATCTGAAGAATAAAGCTTAAATCCGAGGAATAACTTTATCTGTCGTTTTACGTCTCAGTTAGTGATATTATCTGTAGAATAGTGATTTTGACTTTTGTGTATTTGTTTATATTCTCTAACATTTGCTGGAGTAAAGTTTATATACGTTGCCCTTATTGAGTATTTAAATTTTGCTGTGTCTTGAGAGATAATAAAGGGTTTTAGAGAAATATATGACAATAATTTGTGTGATGATAAACAACTTCATTACAAATTGAATGCTCGTTTTTTTTTATTGATTCTATTTTATATGAAAGTAATACCAATAATAATAATAGCCTACATTCAAATAACGCCATCTAGTCCCAAACTAAAAGCTCAGAGTTTGTATTATCGGTATTAGACAACTGATTAAAATACAAATATTATTTTTTATATATTTTTGTAAATATATATATATATATATATATATTACACATAGAAACACCCAGACAAATTTAAAAAATCATATGTACACAAATTGTTTGAACGTAATCGTAAAAACGTAATTTAATCGAACCCGCGACCTTTCGAGTATCAGTCCATTACACAAACCACTACACCACTGGTTACCGTGACTATAGGTTGTCTTATTGTCTGACGTCAAGCAATGTCAAGAAAAGAATGACACAAATGTTGTCTAATAGTTTGGGATCCTTATCTAACATGTTACTAACTGTATAACTGCATCTCGCTTGCTCATGTTTACAGTGAACTTAGTCATGAAAGACCATCAAGTGACTATCTGTCGTATTATACTCGACTAAAAAAACAGAAACAGTTTATTAGCTTGATAAACAGCAAGACAAATTTATTCCTAAGTTAAGTTGTGTGACAGAATAACTGAGGATTGAAACACCCGCCCTAAGATGTTGATAGACGTGTCTTAACACGTCTATCAACATATATTTAGAACATATATTAGAAAAAATATTTTATCAAGTGAACACAAAATGCCTAAAACACTTATGTTTTAGGCATTTTGTGTTCACTTGATAAAATATTTTTTCTATCTTCTTAGGGTTCCGTACCTGAATAGGCCGTTAAGGGACTTTAAATAAATATGGACTGTATTAAATATTATATTTGTATATTGGTAAAAGGATATAAAGAAATGCCCGTAGCGGAACGCGTCTAAGGGCCGAGTAGTGAGAGGACCGCGGCGTACGAGGCGGCGAGCTACGATCCCCGCTCCCCGCGCCGGCCGGCCTTCGATGGTTCGCAACCGAGATCGGCTACATGTTTTGGTGCGCCGACAGTACCCAAAGGGTAAACGGAACCCTATTACTAAGACTCCGCTGTCCGGACTGTCTGACTGTATCCCATGAACCGTGATAGTTAGAAAGTTGAAATCACAGGTAATGTATTTCTGTTGCCGCTATAACAAGAAATACCAAAAACAGAATAAAATAAATATTTAAGAAGGGCTCCCATACTTACATTCTTACCTACTGCATCTCTGCGT